TCTCTATTGTAGTTCTGCCGACGCTGTAATTATATGATAGGCACTACTTGAATGACATTCTATAAACCTATTGCTTGTAACCTTATCTTGAGGCATATTTAAATTGGAGGTATTTCCTTTAATGAAAAAATAAATTATATTCAAAGTTTGTGAAGCATACTGAGTGTTAGAAATGAAATATAGAATTAAAACTACAACAGTAGCAGTAATAGTATAAAAAACGAGGCAGGGGTCATTTTGACAGAAAATGAGGAAAAAGCAGATAGTTGGAAACAATATGTAGATAATCTATAGGAAGGCCATGAGTCAGGAGATATATTAGAGAAGGAAGACAGTGTGGAAATAGATGAGCTAGATTATTCCATAATGAGAGGAGACTTCGATGTAGCATTAAAAAACTAAAGGAATTATAAAGCGCCAATACTACAATGTAGCATTTAGATATATGCATATTCCCATGTAGATGGCCTCCTCGTATTAACATAAAACCAAAAAATTAGCTCCAACTATTTCAAATGACATTACTTCTTGAATGATTCTTTCAGATGGATTTCCCGTTTGTTGGTTTATGGTTTTTGTAGAGGCTTTAAGACAAACAATGCGTGATTTATATACTGTAGCGAGTACGAATGTGTTTGTGTGCGATCGGGCATACGTGGGCGTGAACGGCTTATCGATAACCGACTAGCCGCGGGCGCCTTTCTTCATGTACGCCGTATTTGTAAATATGTGTGTCGTACCTGCGTTCTGGGAAAGCAGTTAAACAATTCAAGGAAAAAAATAAACGATCCAGATGTTTCTAGAGGGTTCCAGAGAGTAAACAAAAGAGTATTTATAGGAAGAGACGATCGCCGAGAGAGAAGAAATAAATTGACCGTTGCAGAAGTGAATCCAGAAATAAATTGACAGTGATGGCAGTGAAATAACTAAAATTGGAAAATCAAAAATATTGTGGATTCGATATTGTTTTCCGGGCTGACTTGACAAATTGATTAATTCAGTTTTACAAGATTATGTTACAAACCTACTTACTTCGCGCGGTGCAACGGTCCGCTTTGGCGGTGCAACGGTCGGAACGTTCGGATTTAGTTATATTTCTAGAATAAACTGTTAAAATAAAATTTAACAGACAATAAAAATTAATTAACAGTTATTAGATCGTATTTAAATATTAATATGGTAGTTGACCTTTTCTTTTTGTGAGAACTAGACTGTTTATATAGGTATAATAAAACTGCTACTGAGTGCAATTTATGAATACCTGATTGTTGTTTTCTTTCAGTATTGATTCGATATTACCTTACCTATCATTTTAATATTTGTTCACGCACAACAATTATCTTATCATAATAATTACACCAAGTACTTCCCTTGTATTAAGTATAAATTTTAGCATGGGATAATTCACAAAGAAGTGTTTTGTTTTAAACTGCAAGCGATACGATTTGTATCTTTCATCGTTGATATTTCGCAGACGACATCAAACAGTTCAGTTCAGATAGAAGTTCGCTTTTACTTTTGAACGATGATTGGGAAACTAATTGCTATTAGTATTTTTCTAGAGACATTGGATTTGTTTTTTTAAGGAATTGCTTTGAATATTGAGTGTGTAGGTACAACTGTGCCATCTCAGACTGATCGCATCAATTACGTTTTGTAGAATTGTGTAAGCAATCATCGATATTACAACACATCACACAAATTAATGCCGATTCAAAAACCGTAACCATAACGATAAAAAAATTCTATAAGTGAAAACAAATTATTTGTTTTTATACGAATTACTAATTGTTTTCAAAAAGTGTACTTAACCAATATCAAATTATTGATACACTATTTTGAAAGGAAACAAATAAATTTTGATTAATATCTGCATTACTACTATTTTCTAACTAAAACTCACCCAGTTATTGGTACACATCGTCGAGTTTGTTGGGTCACACCTCCACCACAAGTTCTCGAACATGGCGTCCATGGACTCCAGGAAGACCAGGTGCCCAAAGATGGTAATTTTCTTTTAGATAACTGATCTTGAAATAACTGATGTATCTGAAAAAGTAAATTTACATTAAGTACATCTGCATTTATGTAAACGTATTTTGTTTATGGATACTTTAAAGAAGTAAATGCTCCTTCTATAAAATTTTATATCTGGGCCTGAAAATTAGAAAGTAATGTACGACTTACTTCTCTCTTTATAACGTAAACGACGGTAGCGCCTATTCATGTGTTACGTATAGGGTTGCCACCCGTACTTTATTATAAAGTATTGTACTCTATTTCGACTGTGCGTACGTTATACTTTACAAGGCACATAAAGTACGCAAAAATACTTTATTTAAGGCCTTAAGTAAACATCGTAATTTTGTAAGCGATTATTCGAAATTCAGAGTA